TACTCTCGTTTACCCTCTCAACAACTCTTTTCCATCTTAAGTCCTTCCTTTCTGTCCCCACCAATGGTAAAATCTATTCCAAATTGTATAATATTCTGATTCGTCCTTATTTTTCATCTCTAAGGTTAGCCTATCCATTTCAGTGCATATCAGAATTTTGTTTATTATTTCGTCCTCACTCAGTATTTCTTTCTCCTTCCATTTCTGGGCAAATATCATTTTTGCCGCGGTGATAACATGTATTATCAAATATAGCTCTTCCTTATTACTGTTATTTTTTTGGTATGATTCCCAATAAGAAACATTCTGGTCTATGGTCTATTTTAAATCCTAACATTTCTCCCAGCCACTTCCCCATCCTATGCTAAAACTCTTGTGCTTTACATGGTAGTATGTACCCCATTCCATTGAGCATTTTCAACATTTTGGAAATTGACTTTTATACATCTTAACCAATCTGGCTGGGGGCAGGTGCCATCAATAAAACATTTTAAGTAAGTTCTACTTATATGCTGCGGCCAGAGTAATCTTTTTATTCCTTTCCCATAATACAGGGGTGTCCAACCTTGGCAACTTTAAGACTTGTGAACTTCAACTCCCAGAATTCCTCAGCCAGCAAGTCTTAAAGTTGCCAAGGTTGGACACCCCTGCCATAATATTTGCCATTGACGTTTTGAGATCTGGCCATGTTATCATCTTAACCTTGGTGAACGGAAATTCCTGATTTTGCCACCAATATTTAATTCGTTTTTAAACATGACCCACCCTCTCCATGAAACAACTAATTTACCTTAGCAGGAGCCTTGGGCAAGGAAGAATCTGGTTAGTATTATGAAATAAACCATAATGTTGCTTTTTGAAAGTGAGGTCTTCTGTCATGTATGCAAATAAGAATACACGGTTTCTGGCTTTACACTGTGTAAGAAGCACCTCTAAGAAGCGACTCTACCTAACTTCACATCTTCTCCATGGGTGGAAATGCTGTGGAGCAAAAGGTGATGGTGAATCTAAACCCTTGAAACAGCACACTATAAGTCTTGTGGGTTCTGCTTTCCTTAGAGAGCGGCTTGGTGTTTTCCAGTGGTTTGAGCTTCAAACGTTCAGCTTCAGAAAAGTTCAGCTTCAAAAGTTATGTGGTTTCACAGAAGTAGACACTTGGGAAAATCCCACATATCTCTGGAGACTTCACTGATAGTTCATAATTTCACAGTGCCCTGATCCTGTCGTTTTTCTGATCATTTCATTGTATCCAAAGGTGTGCCCTGCAATGCCAGCTTTCAAATTATAGGATATTTTAATTTCAATATGTAGAGGAAGCTGCTTCAAAGGTAGATAGGTGGCTAAATTGATAAATGAGGAGAGAGAGATGGGGGAGGGGGAGGGAGGGATGATAGGAGAGAGAGAGAGAGAGAGAGAGAGAATCTGATAGGATGGATGGATGGATGGATGATAGACATATCCCTTAAATCTATAGAAAAAAATAGGATGGATTTTTAACATCTGTCCATACCTACTACATGTTAATTTTTGTTCATATGGCATTCCTTGAAGAATTTGGTCACCCTACTCAATTTTCTGCCATTAAAAAATGAGAAAAAACAAGCTTTTGTTTTTACTGAATATTGTCCAGTTTACCAAAATCTTTTTATAAGCTCCCAAGAAATCCATCCTTTACCTATGATTATCTTTGTAGGATACTATACAATTGAATAGTAATATCCTTTATTTAAAAAAAATGTATTGGTAAGGTGGGCAGTGTGTGTGTGTGTGTGTGTGTGTGTGTGTGTGTGTTTGTGTGTGTAGAGAGAGAGAAAGAGAGAGAGATTGAGATTTGGCTATATATAGTCACAAATGTTTATTTGGTGAGTTTTTCTTTTAAAAATATATTTTCTTTTCTGTTTGTCTTCCGCTAGGCAAAAGGTGTTTATTCTCCAGTGACCGTTTTTAGCATCTGGGTAGCAGAAGAATTTTTCACTTCCATTTTTCTTCTTGTGACTTGTGATCATCAGAAAGGGTGAGAAATAGCCTTCCCATCTGAGCCCTACTGGCAGTTGTGAGCCTTTTAAAATCTTTGCCATTTTTAATCCTCTGTTTTATTTGGAATAGGAAGTTATTTGGAGGACGAAATTATTTGGAAACACAAACTGCCCTTGGCATCTCCTTGATTCTGCTGCCATCTTCAGGATTTCTCCAGGGCAGGAAAAATTTAAGATGAGTACGCAAAACTGTTCAGAACCATCAAAGGGGGATGTGAACCAAGGTTTGAGCATAACTGTTTGCTGCTTTATGTCCAGATAAAGAGTAGAAGAAGAAAGATTAGGGGCGACATGACTGCAGTGTTCCAATATCTGAGGGGCTACTACGAGGAAGGGGGAGTCAACCTACTCTTCAAAGCGCCTGAAAGCAGAACAAAAGGCAACAGATGGAAACTAATCAAGGAAGAATCAACCTAGAAATAAGGAGAAATTTCCTGACTGTTAGAACAATTTATCAATGGAATGGTTTTTTTCTCCAGAAGTTGTGGGTGCTCCATCACTGGAGGTTTTAAGAAGAGATTGGGCAACCATTTGTCTGAAACAGTATTAGGGTTCCTGCTTGAGCAGGGGGTTGGACTAGAAGACCTCCAGGGTCCTGTCCAATTCTGTTTTTCTGTTATTCATGTAGGAACAAGCACAGAACCTCCTTCGTCTTCATTAAAGCAGCCCACCTTTTTTCCCCATCTTCTAAAGTCTAAACTTCTAAAAATAGATGGCATAACTTTAAGAAGTCTGATTGCTAAAGTTAAGGCAACCCTTAAACAGTGACAACTTTTTCAGGCTCAGCCAGATGTTTGAAAATGGATGGACAACTAGCTAGACAAAAGGCACTCTGCTCGCAATTACATGAGGTTCAAACTAATTCTTCCAAATCCTATTTCAAGAGTAGCAGCCCCAACATGTGTTTTTAATTCACCTTCCAGTTGTGATTCTTTTTCCGTTCTCAATGGCAGGAGGCTACAGTGGTGAGTTTGGTTAAGACATTCAACTCTGGCCAACAATAGACCCCTATCCACAGAACTCTGCCATGGGTGGAGGTTGAACTAGAAGACCTCCAAGGTCCCTTTCAACCCTATTATTCTATGATCTAACCCCACATCAGTTGACTAAATCCAACCCCCCAAGGAGATGCAGTCATCTTCATTGTCTATCCATGGACTAGTCTCTATGCTTGCTGTGATGCTTCAGTTCTTTCCTATTTCTAACCCAACAAAGCATTCAATAATTGTTCATCAGTGATCAACATGTCAAAAATGTACGTCTCACTAGAGAGAGAGCAGCCAGAGCGTCAAGCAGCCAACCAAAGTAGGGTGTGAAGAATATCTCAGGAACCATTTAATAGCATCTCATTAACATGAAGGAGGAGCTTTACTTTTCCACCAAAGCAGGCAAGGATATAAAAGACAAGGACGCATAATGTAATCTCCATGGTGGATCTATTTACTGTTCTTCTGGGTCACCAAACTTTATCAATATGTTCTGGGCTCTTTTTCTTAGTCTCTTGGTAGTGTGGTGCGAAGGTAAGATCATGTTATGTGGAATTGCTTTCCAATGACCACAACTCATGAACTGAAAGTGTGTGAAACTTTTCTCCTGTTTTCTTCTAGGAGTAACCTCACAAAGTGTGGTGTCTCAACCTCCATCAGCCTCAGTGAACCCAGGAAACACAGTGAAATTGGCCTGCATCTTGAGCAATGGAGTCAACATTGGCCGCTACAGAATATACTGGTTGCAGCAGAAGCCTCCAAACTCTCCACGTTTTCTCTTGCACTTCTACACAGATTCTGACAAGGGCCAAGGTTCTGGAGTTCCTTCTCGGTTCTCCGGTTCTAAGGAGGCCTCCACCAATGCCGGTTATTTAACCATTTCTGGAGTTCTGGATGAAGACGAGGCTGTTTATTACTGTGCTACGTGGTACAGTAATGGGTTTCACAGTGGTACATTCTAATGGAGAAGTGAGACAAAAACTGTCCTTTCCATTTCTACAGCGTGTTGCTTCTTAGTGAACCCTTTGAAGGCCGTTCAAGATCTTCCCCCTCTGAAGAATAGAGAAGAAATATTTCTACTGAGAAAATTACTGCAGTACTTCTAGAGAGCACACTGAAACATCCTAGTGCCCTGAGATGAGATCTTCAGAACTGAAAAGCAACATTTATTTATTTATTTGTCAGACATGTACAAGATAACAAGTGTAAGTGTGAACATAAACAAGAACAAAGGAAGTAAATACAGATAAATGGGGACAGGAAGACTAGGGACGGTAGGCACCCTGGTGCGCTTATGCACGCCTCCTTTAAGGACCTCTTAGGAATGGGGTGAGGTCCACAGTAGAGAGTTTGAGGTTGAAGCTGCAAGGGTTCGAGGCTGTGACAATGGAGTCGGGTGGGGCGTTCCAGGTATTGACCACTCTGTGGCTGAAGTCATATTTTCTGCAATCGAGTTTGGAGCGGTTTACCTTGAGTTTGTATCGGTTGTTTGCCTGCGTATTATTGTGGTTGAACCTGAAGAAGTCATTGAGCGGCAAGACATTATGGCAGACAATTTTGTGTACTATGTTTAGATTGGACCACAGGCGGTGCAGGTCCAGATTGTCCAGGCCCAAAATTTAAAGCCTGGAGGCATAGGGAATTCTATTGTGAGTAGAGGAGTGGAGAACTTTTCTTCAGAAATACCTCTGAATCCGCTCGATCGTGTTAATGTCCGATATACAGTGTGGGTTCCAGGAGGACAAGCTGTATTCAAGAATTGTTTCCTTCTCATTACTCTTTGAAATTATATTTAATTTATCTATCTATCTATCTATCTATCTATCTATCTATCTATCTATCTATCTATCCATCCATCCATCCATCCATCCATCCATCCATCCATCTATCTGCATTCCCTTGGAATCAAACTAAAATTCTCAGTAATTCATACACAACAGAGGCAAAATAATCTGTCCCTGGGAATCAGATAGTGTACAAATTTAACAAATAATTATATAAAAAAGCAAAACCCTTAATAACACCACTGTATAATGCATTCCACCCAACTTACTCTGACATTCTTTATTTTAAGAAATTAATAAATAGGGAGAAAGTAACCAGATTGGCTTGCATATAGTCACAAATGTTGATTTGATGGGTTCTCTCTCTCTCTCTCTCTCTCTCTCTCTCTCTCTCTCTCTCTCTCTCTCTCTCTCTCTCTCTCTCTCTCTCTCTCTCTCTCTCTCTCTCATGAAAATATATTTATTCCCTTTTTAGCATCTGGGTAGCAAAAGATACTCTCGCTTCTGTTTTTCTTCTTAAATGATTGGTGGGTATCAGAAATGAGTAAGAAATAACCTTCACATCTGAGCTGTACTGGCAGTCACGCCTTTTTCTAACCCTCTGTTTTATTTGTAGGAGGAAGATGGAAAACCAAGCTGTCCTTGGCATCTCTTTGATTGTGCTGCCATCTTCAGGATTTCTCCAGAGCAGGTTGGTTGCAGGGGGAAAAAAGGCAGTTGGAAATTTAAGATGTGCATGCAACATCATTCAGTACCATCAGAGGGAGATGTGACCGAAGATATGAGCATCACTTCTTGTTGCTTTGACACCCAGATTATGACTGAAAAGCCCCATTTTGCCAGCAGATGGTGAAATAGGCCAAGAAGACACCAACTCAAGAAGTTCAGTGCCCAAGAAGCTGCTGATACAATTCTACAGAGGAATTACTGAGTCTATCATTTATACTTCTATATCTGTCAGGTTTGGTACAGCCACCAAATAGTTCAGGGTTGTGTTTTTTTAATTTATCTCTTTTCACATTAGTTTAACTTTAATCATCAAAATCTCATTTTGAATAGAAACCAATCAATGTTTTGAAATGAAATCCAAATCCCAATCTAATCACTGGCGTTTCCTTATTTATTTATTTGTCAATCGCCTACAAGATAATAGGTATAAGTATAAACCTAATTATGAATACATGAAATGGATACATATAAGAAAAATAAAAAGAAACAATAGGACAGGGATGGTAGGCACGTTTGTGCGCTTATGCATGCCCCTTAGAGAATTACCTAACTTTTTGTGTAGTGTTCATGTAAGAACCGTGTTTATTTTTTTTAACAATTTACTGAAATTTGCAAATTTCTTTTTGCTAAAGTGTGTTGTGTTGTTGTTCGGGAACTACTGTTGTTCCAGAGAATGAAATATATATATAATTAAGTTTAATTAAGGAAAAACTTACTTATAGTGAGGACAATTAAGAATAGTTTGCCTTCAGAAATCGGGGGCATTCCATCACTTGAGGTTTTTAAGAAGAAACTAGAAATCCACACCTGAAATAGTATAGGTTCTCCTGCTTGACTAGAAGCTTCTCTGGCTGGACTAGAAGACCTCCAAGGTCCCTTCCAACTCTTCTCTTCTCTTCTCTTCTAATCTATTCTCTTCTCTTCTCTTCTATTCTAATATATTAATATATAACATCTTAATGCAAATATTAGCAAATATAATCAGATCAAGCTGAATTGATTGATCTTCCATCAAATCGGTAAATTAGCCAAAAAAAAAAGTCCTCTTTGGGCATTCCTATATTGTAAAAATGGTGGAATTCTCACTAACTAGACTTTTCTTTCCAGAAGTAACAGTACAAATATGGAAATACTCTGATTTCCTGCCCTGAGTAGAACTTTGGGTTGATGGCTTAACAAATCTTCTCCAGTTTTGGCTTTAATAATGAATGTTGAACTCTAAGGAAATCTCAAAAGTGCTTTTTTTTTTTTTTTCAAGAGGCAACTGGACTTTCTGGTTTTTCTTTGAAGACGTTTTGCTTCTCATCCAAGGAGCTTCCTTCAGCTCCTTTGGGACAACCAGGACTTGGAGGGCTGAGACTCTCCATAGGCATCTAAGGAAATCTATTTCAGTGTGTGTGGGTGCTCTAATAACGACCCAAAATTACCCACTTTTCCCTTTCTAGCCACCAACTGTACATCACTGACAGATGTTCGGATCACAAAGAGGGAGAACTTCACTCTTTCCCCACCTGAGGACAGTTGGACAGAAAATGCAAAGTCATGTGGTAAGAAAAACAGTTCTCTGTGGTTTCCGGAAATGCCAGATGCATCTGAGGAACGTTTGTTGCTGAAGGATTACCAGATGCCTTCAGAAGTGGAGATGGGAATAGTGAATCTTCTTGCATACGGATTGGGCTTGATGTGATTCCATCGCTCACGTGGCTTTCTCCTCCTGTGGCGGTTTTCATGGAAGTCTTGTGGATCTTCTGGATGGCCAGGAAATGGGGTTGCTTGGCCATGTGGAAGCCATTTTGAATAGCTCTTTTCTAATGGATATCCTAACAAGGTGAAGCAAAGGTGACAGGAATACAAACAGGTTGCGAGTCTCTTTTTTAAACCATTATTTTTAGGTTCGATACCTTTCAGGTAAATCATGAGTGAGATAAATCGAGATAAATTGCTGAGATAAATTGATGATTTAATGGGATTTACAACAAAACGTCACGCAACACTCCTGCTTAGGAGCCTACTTTTATAATTGTCCCTGGATTTTTATTTGTTTCTGTTTCTATTCCTCAAATTGGCCATCTTCTGTGATCGCTAAATATGCCTTAATATTTAAAGCAGCTTCAGGGCAATTTTCTTTCTTTACTTTTTTCCCCCTAAAGATTTATCATACTTCTGGATATATTGGGCCTCTTGTGATCTTTCTAAAATCACTTATTTGTGGATATTGCCATTTTTGGAGATAAAAGAACCCACGTTTGGAAAAAAAAGAAGAAGAACCAAGCTCTAAACGGATTATAATTTTCCCAATCAGAGAGGAAGACTTGTTCTAGGAATACTATTTCCCTGCTTTAAAAGAGAATTGCGTTGTGGATTAATGTCCAGGAATCTATCCAACATGTCCACTATTTCTAAGAAAACGGTTTTCATACGTAAGTTCCACTGGTCAAAATGGGTGAGTTTTATTTCAACATCTTCTCTGCTTCTACCAAATCTGTCGAAGATGCTACAAAGTAAGCCCTTCTTTTTGGTAAAGTATTTGGAATGGTACTGGATGATGCAAGACAGATAGCATCCCTGGATAAGAGCATCTTAATTCTTCTGATTCAAAACATCCAAGAAAGTTCATGGTGGACCTGGCATTCAGGTAGGAAATAGTTTCCCTATGGCTTCAATCTCTCTTCCATTGTTATGGCTAATTGTTACAGTCTAAATTATTCACCTGTGATGATATTTGAGAATGGAAGAGCCATGTCAATGATGGGTTGAAGAGAGTGTGGAATTTGTGGGCATTTGTGGAACTAGATTATTATATAGTATTGTTGTGTGGCCATTACTTGGTGAGTGGCAAAGGAATTTGAGTGAAAGACACTCTTTAAAATGCAGATACAATTGTTTTCCAAATGTTTCTGGATCAGATGATGATGATATAATGAATATGTTATCCATTCAGTCATGTTCAACTCTTGGTGGGCCAGGTCTCTGCATCATCCAATCTTGCACTTAAGTGTTTTACAAAGAACTCTCAAATAGATGAAATAATGTAGACATTTTTGATTCAATGACCAAAATATTTGAAAGTGGGAGAGCAGTGCTAATAGTATTTGTACCGTTATTATACCATTACTATTGCTATTAGTTTGTATGTTGAGATTTATTATCAACGTATGTCGTGTTTTGTTTGTAAATAATTCTCTGCCAATGCACTATTTTTCAAAAATGTTTATGAATGTTATTCAAAAATGTTTATGAATGAAAATTTCTAAAAATAAATTTAAAAAAACAATTCAATTAAATTATTTTTAAAGAAGAAAAAGAACATGGGAGAGCAGTGTTGATGATGGGTTGAAAAGAATGTGGAATTTTTGGAATTTCATGGAAACGGATTACCTTAGTGGGAAAAATTGCAAAGAGCTTCAGTAGAATATGTTACCTAGTTGCCTGCTAGTTCAGAAAAATGTGGAACTATAATTGGGTCTGCTAAATTAGTAAGCTTTCCAAAGCGAATTATGACTTTGAAAAAAGAATTTAGTAAAAGTGTTTGTGTTTATATTATATTTTGATAAACTAATAAATATTTTGAACTAAAAAATGGCAAAATCCATATCCCCTACAAAGTGAGTGATGGATTTATAAAAAAAATAAAACCTTCCAAAATAACATCCAAGATCTGGAAGCAGAAGTAAACTACTACAGGAAATATTTTTGTATGGCCATTACTCACTGTGTGTATATCTTCGGCAGTGGAACCCAACTGACAGTCTTAGGTAAGTCTCTTTAAAATGCTGTTACAACTGCTTTCCAACTGTTTTTTATTTTAATTTGTGTTGTTTTTTTCTTACCAAACAGTCTCTGTCTCAAATGAAGCATCTTCGATGTAGCTTAGCAGGTCACATTTAAAAAAAATGCTTAGGTTTTCTCTTTCGTGTTGTAAAAAGAACTCTCAAATAGATGAAATATAAAGGAAGTATTTTTTGTCTTTTTTGAGTTGATTAAGTCTGAAGTATAATATGTTCTTAATTAGATTAAGTCACGTTTCCTAAGAGAGAAATAATTATTCTAACGATCTGACTATTTTGTGTTCTTAACATTTTGCTTTTGTGATCCTTTTTTTCTCCAAGGCGTTACGTTTTTGTCCCCTAAAATGCATGCTCATCTGTCCTTCTTGTGTTTAATAGTTTATTTCTCACTGTCCTTTTCAGGAAAACAAAATCCAGGTAATGGTAATGTCAAAATGTCAAGCAAAGTGTTATGCAATTCTTCAATATCTTGTTTTATCTGCACATAGTTGATTCAGCTCATAGATAATTTAAAAATCGAATCATATCAACTCATGGAGGTATTGCAATAAAGTATATTTAAACAAGTCAGTGTAAGAATAATAGGAAAATGTATCAAATCTCCTTCTCTCTGTGTTTGTATGTGTTGTGTGTTGCAAGGCATTAGAAATATGAGTTTCCATGCTCTATCTGATTTTAAGGCAAAAGGCAGGGGCAGTTTTGGAAAAAAAAATAGGGAAATAGAACTTGTAACCTTTAAAAATTCATTTTTTTTCTCTTGCTTTAATGTTTAGATTTCTTTATCTAATTACAAAGATTCCTCCTGCTCATTTGTACAGATCTGAAAGGAAGACAATACATGAGGGAAGGTTGATGATAAACTTTGAAATTCTAAATAGATTTTTTTCCTATCAAAATAAGTCGTAGACAAGTATCTTGGTTGTATTTGGTGAAGTCCAGCACTGATCATTCTTTTTTTTTTTTTTTAAAGTTAGGATCTGTGACTAATGCTATGATTCATGGGGTCGAGGTGTATCATCTTAAAAATAATCTGAAAACATTATTTACATAATATTAGTACCCAACAATAAATCCAAATATATTGAAAAGGATGCATTGCTTGGTAATTCACCAATCATAAGCAAAACTTTCAGATCCTTTTTTAAAAATCATCTTTAAAAATGAATCTTCACATTTGTTTTATTTTGTAAATGGAAAGGGATTTTTTACAAAAAGAGGTGAAATTTCACAAAGAGATAAAATGAAGCATAGGATGATTTGAAGCTAGAGAATTTGAAAATTGCATACCAAAATAACAAACTCTGTTTGGTTTGGTTTTCTTCTTTTGTTTTGTTTTAATTCTACCTTTATTTTGCTTTAAAAAAACAAATCCATAGATAAAAAGTGAGGGAAGTATGACTTAGCAAGAGATAATAAAGTACACAGTTAAAAGAATAACAGATTTTCTTATTGATTGATGGTCAATAGTGTTGATCAGAATTTTGCAACCCATTTTAATTTTAGTTCCTCCATGCTCAAATCCACTCTTAACCCCATTAGGAAAAATATCTGTTTTCTTCTTGTCTGAGGTAGATAACCAATTCCTTTGCTTTAAAAAAAGACAAACTTGGAATCAGCCAGGGATCTCCCAAGCATTTAATTAATTAAATCTGGAACACTGGATGAGAAAGATGTTTAATCCATTGCTGTCACATCCCTTTTGTCGTTCTAAACAACCACACTTCAGATTGCTGATTTTACAACCCAGTACAAACTAGCAAAGGAATGCAAAGTTTTATAAAGATCTTGCCTAGATTGTTTGTGCTACTGGAATATATTTATACTGTCCTTTCTTTCTTTAGGGTGTTGAAATTGGACAAGTCCAAAATTCTGT